GGTGTGTGGGTGATGGGTTGTGGGGGTGGGTGTAGGTGTGTGGGGGTGTGTTGACTAGGTGGGTGGGGGTGTTTTAGGTGGGTGTGGTGGGTGAGGGTGTGGGGGTGGGGGTAGATGGGTGTGTAGGGTGTGTTGGTTGGTGTGTGGGGTGGGTGTGGGTGGTGGTGGTGGAGGTGTGGTGGGGTTGTGTTGGGTGGGTGTGGGTGGTGGTGGTGGGGGATGTGTGTGTGGGGGTTGGGTGTGGGTGGTGGTGGGGTGTGTGTGGGGGTTGGGTGTGGGGTGGTGTGTGGAGGTGTGTTGGGTGGTGGTAGTGAAGGTGTGTGTGGTGTGTTGGTGGGTGTGGTGGTGGTGTGTGGTGGGGGTGGGTGTGGGTGGTGTGGTGAATGGTTGGGTGTGGGTGGTGGTGGTTGTGTGTGGGGTTGTGTTGGGTGGGTGTGGGGTGGTGGTAGTGAGGTGTGTGTGGGGTGGGTGTGGGTGGTGGTAGTGGTGTGTGGGGGTGTGTGTGGGTGGTGGTAGTGGAGGGTGTGTGTGGGTGTGTTAGTTAGGTGGGTGTGGGTGGTGGTGGTGAGAGTTGTGTGTGGGGGTGGGTGTGGGTGTGGGTGGTGGTGAAGGGTTGTTAGTGGGGTGGGTGTGGGTGGTGGTGGTGGGGTGTGTGGGGGGTTGTTGGGTGTGGGTGGTTGGTAGTGAAGGGTGTTTGTGGGGTTGTGTTGGTGGGTGGGTGGTGGTGGAATGTGTGTGAGGGTGTGTTAGTTGGTGGGTGTGGGTGGTGGTGAGGAAGGGTGTGTGTGTGGGGTGGGTGTGGGTGGTGGTGTGGGGTGTGTGGGGTGGGTGTGGTGGTGGTGGGGTGTGTGTGGGGGTTGGTTGGGTGGTGTGGGTGGTGGTGGTGGGTGTGTGTGGGGGTGTGTTGGTTGGGTGGGTGTGGGTGTGGTTGGTGGTGGAGGGTGTGGGGTGTGTTAGTTGGGTGGGTGTGGGTGGTGGTAGTGAGGTGTGTGTGGGGTGTGTTGTTAGGTGGTGTGGGTGGTGGTGGTGGTGAGTGTGGGGTTGTGGGTGGGTGTGGGTGGTGGTGGTGAGGGTGTGTGTGGGGTGTGTGTGGTTAGGTGGGTGTGGGTGGTGGTGGTGAAGGTGTGTGGGGGGTGTGTTGGTTAGGTCAGGTGTAGGTGGTGGTGGTGAAGGTGTGTGTGGGGGTGTGTTGGTTAGGTGGGTGTGGGTGGTGGTGGTGGTTGGGTGTGGGTGGGTGTGGGTGGTGGTGGTGGAAGTTGTGTGTGGGGTGGGTGTGGGTGGTGGTGGTGAGGGTGTGTTGAGTGGGTGTGGTGGTGGTAGTGAAGGTGTGTGTGGGGTTGGGTGTGGGTGGTGGTGGTGTGGGGTTGGGTTGTTGGGTTGGTTGGTGGTGGTTGGTTGTGGGTGGTTGGTGGTGGTGGGTGTGGGTGGTGTGTTAGTTGGGTGGGTGTGGGGTTGTGTGTGGGGTGGTAGTGAGGTGTGTGTGGGTGGTGGTAGTGAAGGTGTGTGTGTGGGGGTGGGTGTGGGGTAGTGGTGAAGGGTGTGTGTGGGTGGTGTTGGTGAGGTGTGTGTGGGGTGTGTTAGTTAGGTGGGTGTGGGGTGGGTGTGGTGGTGGTAGTGGAATTGTGTGTGTGGGGGGTGTGTTAGTTAGGTGGGTGTAGGTGGTGGTGGTAGTGAAGGGTGTGTGGGGTTGTGTTAGTGGGTGGGTGTGGGTGGTGGTAGTGAAGGTTGTGTAGGGGTGTGGTGGGTGGTGTGAAGGGTGTGTGTGAAGTTGGGTGTAGGGGTGATAGTGAAGGGTGTGTGTGGGGGTGTGTTGGGTGGTGGTAGTGAAGGGTGTGTGTGAGGGGGTGGGTGTGAGGTGGTGATGGTGAAGGTGTGTGTGTTAGTTGGGTGGTGTGGGTGGTGGTGAGATTGTGTGGGGGTGGTGATGAAGGGTGTGTGGGGTTGTGTTGGTTAGTTGGGTGGGTGGTGGTAGTGGAAGGGTGGGTGTGAGTTGGTGGTAGTGAAGGGTGTGTGGGGGTGTGTGTTAGTTAGGTGGGCGTAGTTGGGTTGGTAGTGGAGGGTGTGAGGGTGTGTGTTAGTTAGGTGGGTGTGGGTGGTGGTAGTGAAGGTTGTGTTAGCTAGGTGGTGTGGGTGGTGGTTTGAAGGTGTGTGTGGTGTGTTAGTTAGGTGGGTGTAGGTGGTGGTAGTGAAGGTGTGTTAGTTAGGTGGGTTGTAGGTGGTGGTAGTGAAGGGTGTGTAGTGTGGTTAGTTTGGAGTGGGTGGTGGTGGTGGTGAGTGTGTTAGGTGTGTGGGGTGTGTTGAGTTAGGTGTGGGTGGTGGTAAGTGTGTGTAGGGTGTGTTAGTTAGGTGGGTGTAGGTGGTGGTAGTGAAGGTGTGTGTGGGGGTGTGTTAGTTGAGTGGGTGTAGGTGGTGGTAGTGGATGGTGTGTTAGGTGGTGTGTGAGTTGTGTTAGTTAGGTTAGGTGGTGGTAGTGAAGTGTGTGTGGGGTGTATTAGTTAGGTGGGTGGAGGTGGTATTGAAGGTGGTGGTGAAGTGGGTGAAGGTTATTAGTTAGGTGGGTGTAGGGTTATGGCTAGGTGGTGTAGGTGGTGGCGTGAAGGGTGTGTGTGGGGTGGTGTATGATGGTAGTGAAGGGTGTGTAGGGGTGTGTTAGTAGGTGGTGTAGGCTGTGGTAGTGAAGGGTGTGTGTAGAGGTTGGGTGTATACGATGGTAGTGAAGGGTGTGTGTAGGAAGGTGGGTGGGTGGTGGTAGTGAAGGGTGTGTTAGGTGTGGGTGGTGGTAGTGAAGTTGTGTGTAGATTGGTGGTGGTGAGAGTTGTGTTGGGTGGTGGTGAGTGAGTTATGTGTTGGTTGGGTTGGGTGTAGATTGAATGTTGGTGAGTTGGGTGTGGGTGGTTGTTGGTGAATGTGTGTGGGGGTGAATGTTGGTTAGATGGTGTGGGTGTGGTGGTAGTGAAGGGTGTAGGTGGTGGTAGTGAAGGTGTGTGTAGGTGTGTTTGTTGGGTGGGTGTAGGTGGTGGTAGTGGGGTGTGTGATAGCTGGGTGGGTGTGGGTGGTTGGGGTGAAGGGGGTGTGTGGGGGTGTGTTGGTTGGGTGGGTGTGGAGTGGTGGTAGTGAAGGGTGTGTGATGGCTAGGTGGGTGTGGGTGGTGGGGTGGAGAGTTGGGTGTGGGGTGTGTGTGTTAGTTGGTGGGTGTGGTAGTGAAGGGTGTGTGTGTGTGGGGGTGTGTTTGTTAGGTGGGTGTGGGTGGTGGTAGTGGGGTGTGTGTGTGTTTGTTGGGTGGGTGTAGGTGGTGTTACTGAAGGTGTGTGGGGTGGGTGTAGGTGTTGGTAGTGGTGTGTGTTAGCTAGGTGGGTGTGGTTGGTGGTGGTGTGTGTGGGGTGTGTTAGTTAGGTTGGTGTGGGGTGTGGGTGGTGGGTGTTATTGGAGGGGTGTTAGCTATAGTATTTCCACACTAACATGGTTCATAAGCCTTGCCCCTCATCTACAAATAGCTGATTGGTTCCCCGGCATATTTACCTTCTGGACTGCGCGTATATAAGCGCATCTTTATGTCGACCTTTTTTAATAAATATTTTAAAATTTTCTAATATCTTCCCTGAAGTGCTAATGCCTTGAATTTATTTGCATTTTGATAATCCATGTACATATTTAATATTACATTAGTTAATAGCAGGTCTGCTTACCAAGTGTGAACATTCAGTTTGAATTTTTTAATGAACCAATCTGCTATTAGTATAGAAGAGGGGCAGGGCCTATGAGCCAGGTTAGTATGGAAAGGGTATAATTAGGTGGGTGTACTGTAGGGGGTCAAGGTGAGTGTTTGTAGTTCGGTCAGACCCGGGACCACTAGCTTGCCAGACGAGCATGCTGATCATTACAGAGGCTCCCATTGCTTAAATATAAGATGAAGGAGCAGGTTTTGTGAAAAAACAACAAAGTTTATGTTGGCTTTTGTTGTCCTCATGGTGGCACTCTCTGTTCCCACGTAGAAATCCCGGGTTCGATTACCTGAATAGTGAAGTATTGCTTATGTACTGTATATGTTGTCACGGGGTGGAATTTATGGTAACAAATTAAAGAAATGAAAGAATACAGAACTCTTAAGATTCTAAGAGAGTAAGATTAGGTAAGAAAGTTAATGTTGCCTCGTTGTCAGCCTGTAATTTTGCCATTTTGAGAGCAAAAGAACAACACTATTTTACATCAGTTCTGAACGGAAACTGAACAAAATCAAAAGACTCGGTAATCAACTCTGGGAATCTGCAATTTTCTGTTTGCATCCATGGGAAGTAGAGAGTAAACTGGGCTGAGAACAGTTCAAAGGTAGGAGTGTTGAACTTCTGTTAACATGTCATCAGGGCAAGCCTGAACTGGACTGACCTGACCTGACACAAGGAGAGTTAATCCTTTGATCATAATTTATGGTCCCGACTTAATGAGGCAGCCCCTGTTGGTCACATCCTTCCATCCTTGACACATATCCTGTACACTAGAAAAGAAACAAATTCACATGTGATCACTGCAAGACCTAGGTGACTCCAGCGACCCCATGAGCTCTATGCGACCCCTTGCGAGGCATCTTGCGACCCCATTTTGGATCGTGACCCCGTGTTTGGGAACAGTGCTTTGATATGTGTCATGTAGACAGTGTTTGGTGTTGTGTGTCATGTAGACAATGTTTGTTATGTGCGTTCATGTAGACAGTGTTTGTTGTTGTGTGTCATGTAGACAGTGTTTGTTGTTGTGTGTCATGTAGACAGTGTTTGTTGTTGTGTGTCATGTAGACAGTGTTTGTTGTTGTGTGTCATGTAGACAGTGTTTGTTGTTGTGTGTCATGTAGACAGTGTTTGTTGTTGTGTGTCATGTAGACAGTGTTTGTTGTTGTGTGTCATGTAGACAGTGTTTGTTGTTGTGCGTCATGTAGACAGTGTTTGTTATGTGCATCATGTAGACAGTGTTTGGTACTGTGCGTCATCTAAACAAAGCTTGTTTTCCAGATCACTTAACTTGGAGCAGGAAGCAAGAGAAAGAGAATCAGAGAAAGAGAGAAATAAACTGCTGGGTATAGCCACACCAGCATCTGCAAATGATAATAGTAAGTAGCAGTAATTTTGGACGACCTGAAGAATATACACGTCGGGTTATTTCACCTGATGATTAACCACCCTAATGCTAACCCAACACCCTACCTTAATCTACCCATATCCTGCCCTTACTTGACTAACCTAACCTAACGCAACCTAACCTAACCCCACCAGGTAGCATTAGGGTGTTTAATCACCAGGTGAAATAAGCTTGTGTGCCTAATTTTCTTGTGATCCTGTTAATCAGTATACTGTATACATTTATCTCTGATCATTATAAACTCTTAAAACAATGTTAACAATTACTGTATATTACTCTACTCTTATATGTGTACTGTACTCTATTTCATTTTACATGTCTATATTTTTCATGAATTTTATGGGAATTGTATATAAACCTTATTATCATGTTATTTCATGTGATTATATGTACCCTAACTTTACCTTATCTTATGTTATCTAACCAGACTTTCCTTCTACTTTATTAACTTACTTAACTTAACCTAACCAAACCTTACTTTACCTAACCTAACCAAGCCTTAACTAGCCATACCTGGTCATTCCTTTCCTAACTTTCACTAACCTAACCTTATATAAAAGAACCCTACCCTACTCTAAGCAAAACCTAACCTAACCTTCATCAACACACGTTGACATACTTCATGTACTTTTATACACATCAGAAATCTCGACTTTGTTCAGAGACCTTAACTGCTTTGAACCCCAAAATTACTTAAGAAAACTAACAATGAGAACCTGAAATCAGCTTTAAAAACCAAGCCATCAGAACCTAGACTAGCTTTAGAAACTGAGCCATCAGAACCTTAGACTAGCGAAGATAACATAATTGACCATAAATATCGTGCTTTTGCTGTTATCGCATTTAACACAGGTTGTGATATACGTGAATACTGTTGTTATCTTTTTGGTCTTTGTATCCATTTTTCAAAACTGGTGCCTTACTGAAAAGGTAACAGGTTTTCTACACAGGGAGAGTGAGTCGCTGACCAAGTCTTTAAGTCTTGGTCAAGGACAATAGACTTTCATTACCTAACAACTACAGTTCACCAAACACAGTTACAGTATATATATCTTATAATTCTTTATTGTTGATGGACTAGTGTAATTACTAACCTTGTTATGTACTTAAAGACCTCAGTTCTTAAGTGCAGTACAGTACAGTAATAGCATTTGTATATGTCAAGAGAAGAAGAAAAATATTCCCTTGCTGATTAGATTATTGTCAGTTTATATTGTACTTTTAGATACAATACAAGCATGAAAGATTCTGTTTAACCATTGACATCAAGCTGTGTTCATGACAAGTGCATAGAAGCTATCACTAGGATAAGCCAGTCCCTCATTACCCAAACTGAGGCCATCATAGTTGTTTGGGGAGGGTAACCTTAGGTCTGGGTACAGTATAATATATACAGTATGTATATATAATGAATTGGAATTAATGGATTGATGTGGTAACAAAATGCAACCATCATCCATTTCCTGATTTTTTTTAAATAAAAGTTGACTGTGTGGAGTAGAGAGATTTAGAGCAAGAAACAAGTGTCATCTGTGAATAATGATGATAATGAGGTGATATGATAATCCACTTGAGTTACCTGAACTAAGTGAAGGTCTAGAAGAACTTTTATAAAGATTAATGAGGGAGTGTTAGGCAGGAGGACCACAGTGTTGAGGGAAGCACTGATGTTTAATAATACTGTACTGTACAGTGAGTCAAGTAAAGTACTGTACTCTAATTTCTTAGGGGTTAAAGGAAAGTTAGGATCTCGGTAAGGATTAGGAACCCTTGCTTATTTTTTGATCTTATCATGAAATACTCTGATGCTAACTTAACCTAACCTAACCTAATCATCACAGGCGAAATATGCTGGGTTCCTAATCTTTAAAGAGATCCAAAATTCCTTCTTTGACAGACTTGCTCATTGTTCAAAATATCTGTACAGTTGAAGATAGGCACAAAACTAATGAAAATATATTATCACATACCATGTATAATAGTGTCATATCTGAAGCAGCAAGCATAGGCTAACTCCAAAGCTGCTATCAGCTCCTCAAATCGAGATGAAGTTGTAACATAACATTTACTGTATTCACCCACACATTACAGTCTATTCCTTGTTATTTTGGGGGTGTGACTGATAGCTTTAATGACTGTTGCATCAGTTTGATGATTGAGCTTTAGGTAATTTTTTCTCTGCAGATGTACAAACACTGGATACAATGCAAGCGCTATGCTTGCCACTCGGGGCGTCCGTCTCACTCCTCATAATGTTCTTCTTCTTCGACTCCATGCAGATGCTTTTTGCCGTCTGCACAGCAAGTATGCATCATTTACTGTGTTACCGTTTACATTTATTTATTTATTTTTGTTCTGTTGTATAATTTAAATATTTACTGCTCCTTTGTAAAATGAACCCCCCTTTTTTTTACAAAGACAGTACAGGTATATAAATTGCTTTGATAATAAACATTATTTAAGAACTTTATCATAAAAAATATAAGAATAATAATTTGTTTGTCTTATTGTTACTTTTGGGATTTGTCCGTCCTAGAGTTGACCCTCTCAGGACTGTTAGCCCCTCATCTTATGTCACCTGAAGATCAATTATCTACTGTACTGTTTACCTAACCTGCCTCCTTTCTCCACCTAATAATAGGGTGTTTAATCATCAGGTGAAATAAGTTGAGGTTCTCATCCTTATATGATCCATACTTTTTTTTCCATTACTGTACTTTCAAATGTAGAAATGTGTAATGAAATTGTAGCATGGGAATATTTCTTTTAGTGTCGTCTTTCAGTTGATATGGGAAATGTCACTTACACAGTACAGTAGAAGTCCAAAAATCCGGACTGCTTGGGGATTGGGTCGGTCCGGATTTTCGGATTTTCTGGATTCTCAGGCAGTATTTTTAAAATTCAAATTTAAGGAGGAATAAAGAAGAGATGAACGGGTACATTTTGATTGTTTATTCATTAGCAAATATAGCATGCTTCATTTATCAAAACGAGCAGTTTTAAAGAAAAAGCTGTGAATTCTAGAATTTTATTCTTTGCCTTTTTTATATCATAAATTGTAGACTTTCCAATGTTGTATGTTTCCATTAGAACATTATTGCTCACACCACATTCTATTTTCTTAATTATGTAAAATTTGTCACTCAATTTCAACGTGTTCTTCTTTCTCTTCACACAACGAAGTTTATCTACTTTAGGAGCCATTATTATGGGCTCTGTAAATGGAAAGAGTAGGACTCAAAATTACATACGTTGTCACCGTTTGAGTGCTCGTTTTAAAGTGGCGATCGCGTGGTCGCTTGTTGTTGCTGTGCAGCTGTAGCACTCACGCATGCGCACATATACACAAAAGTCAGCTAAAAAAAAAAGTTTGAGTTTTCGAAAAATCCGGATTCTCGGGTGGTCCGGATTTCTGGCATCCGGATTTTTGGACTTTTACTGTAGATGAGTTAACATTTATATTTTTTTTTAAGGAGTTGAAATTACAAAGAGCACAAAAGTAGTAAATCTGAATTAAAATATTTTAGTTATAGTATTTATCTGAATTTGAACTGAAATATTTAATCAAACTATTTGTGTCTTGTAAAACATAATTTCAAGATACAATTTTGATCTTACGTTCACATTTGTTTTTTTCAGTTATCGCCACGGTAGCTCTTGCCTTCCTTTTGCTGCCCATGTGCCAGTACATAAGCCGGCCCTGCTCCGACAATAAAAAGTGAGACATTGCAGATCAATGTTGGTTTTCTTATAGTACAGTACAGGTGTAGTCCTTTATTTAGCAAAACCTTGGAGGATTGTTAAAACAGCTCAAGAACGTTTAGAGTGGAGGACTGTACAACACTCTAATAATAAATAATAATAATAATAATAATAATAATTATTAATGGTTTATTGAAAAAATTCTGCAGCCCGAAGGCTGAAAATATACATTGGACATAAATGACTTATTACATACATTGGTGGTTTAACAAAAGCCTTCATTAGAGAAAGGTAAAGGAACACACAGTGAACATACAGATTAATGTAGGTGTTGAACAGCAAACTCGTAGTGTCGTAACTCCCTCCCAGATGGTGTTAGGAGGAACTCACGTGGTGTAGCAGTTCCCTCAGATGGTGTTATGAGGGACCTGGCATGGTGTAGTAATTCCCTCGCAGATGGTGTTATGAGGGGCTTCACGTGGTGTAGTAATTCCCTCACAGATGGTGTTATGAGGGACCTCACGTGGTGTAGTAATTACCTCACAGATGGTGTTATGAGGGACCTCACGTGGTGTAGTAATTCCCTCACAGATGGTGTGATGAGGGACTTGACGTGGTGTAGTAATTCCCTCACATATGGTGTTATGAGGGACATGTGGTGTAGTAATTCCCTCACAGATGGTGTTATATGAGTGAGGTTTGGTCTTAGGCCTGCCTATCGTAGACGGATTAACACAACGCTGGTTGTTGTTGGGTCTCACTGGCCATTATCACTGGTTACCTGGGACCTCACTGTGTGAAGGTTAATTTGGGTACGACTGTTACTGTTGAGTTGTTCTCACTGACTTAAGCACTGTTCACCACTGTTCACCTCTGTTTAACACTGGTTCCGTTCCTTTCCTTAATGAAATTGTAACTTCTGGCGAGAACTTGTTGATATTCCGGTGGGGAGGAGGGTTCAGGGGAGGGGATTGGTATGGGCCAACTTAACAGTTGACCTGGCTGCTCCGAGAGGAGCGCCAGGTACGTCTTGACCCTTCGGTGGTCAAGGATGATTGTTTGAATATGACAGAAGTGTTATTAGCTGTGACAGGTGTTGTTTAATTATGTTAATGGATTTAGACTTTTTTATTATTATTATTTGTACACATTGTATATATGAAAGATAGTAATATTAGATGGTTTACACTAGATATATACAGTACTGTATTCTGATTACTGTATTTTAATTACTGGGGTCATTATACATAACTATAATGCAGTACTGTATTTTTTTTTCCCATAGTCCAATGTAACTTTCAGCAAATTTCACAATATGTCCCTCTCCACAGTGTGCCCAAAAAACAGTGTAGTGTATAATGTAGTGTAGTGTAGTCTTTTGTTTCTCTCCTTCAGGTAACATCTTTCATATCATAGAAGAATTATCAAGAACTCAAAATTATTCAGTATACAACTACCTGTATTGTATCATGAAACCTCCATATAACGGACTTTTCTCTTCATATAATCCATTAGGTGGAGGCTTCACATCTAACGAACCCTCAACATAGTGGAATTTCCTCTCCATATAGTCCATGAAATATAGGTTTCACTGTATGGTGTTATTTTATTGTGTCATAGTTTATGTACTGAACAGATATATGATTTTTTTCCAATTTGGATGATTTTTTCTGTGATCTAAAGTACATTGGGTTAGGTTCGTTTGGTTCACTTGTTAGGTTTGGTTAGGGTTGGTTAAATTATGTACAGTGTAGTCTCGATTTACGCGGATTTCGTTTACGCGTTTGGTCATTTACGCGGCACCTTGCCAGACCAACAATTTTTATTTACGTGGTATTTTCCATCATTTACGCGGGAAGCGGGGCGGGCAGGATGCACACAAGGTTGCCCAGTCAACAAAACATTACCGAGTTCTTCACCCACCACAGCCAGCCCAAGTCAGTGATAGTGAGGATATGGACTCTGAGGGGTTTGACAAAGAGGCCCTGCAAGCCTCTGTGGTGGATAGTGATACAGGTGATACAAGTGATACAGGTGAGGGCCAATAATCTGCCCTCTGCCTTAGAACCAACCCCCCATCCCCGTGTACCCAACCATCTCTTCTACTAACGTAAGTTAAAAAACCTAATATTATTGATATTTCTCTTAAATATTAATTGTGTGTGCATACCATCATAAAATTAAGATGTTATTTTTACTACAACGTGCGTATTGTGTCGGAAAAAGTGTAGTTTGGGGGTCGGCCCAGTCTCTATTTCAATTAGCCCCATATGTTCTGTTATTTCGTTTACGCGTTCCTCGTTTTACGCTGACCGCCACGGGTTTAATTGACCGCGTAAATCGAGACTATACTGTATTTACCAACTATTTCTGTTCCTAATTTTTCCTCTTTGTCCCCCAGAATATCATTTGGGATGTGCGGAAGGTTCACGGGGGCAGAGATTATGGCGTTCTGCCTCTCAGTGTCCATCGTCTGCATCTGGGTCATGACAGGTCACTGGCTGCTCATGGATGGTAAGACCTGTGATTTATACTGTACTGTCCCAGGGCCATTTACCTTGCTTATTTCACTTAATGCTAACTTAACCTAATTAGCATTAGGGTGTATAATCATCAGGTGAAATAAGGTTGGGTTTACTAATGGACGTCATGAAGGTTAAGGACCCCCGCTTCAACGTGAGTACAGTATATTATATTATGCCATCACATCTGTTTTTAATGCCATTGTGATTTGTTTCATTGTTTAAAAGATTGCATATCATTATTTTCAGAATATTTTAACAGGCATTGTCCGTGTGTGTGTGCGTGCATGTGAGAGAGTGATAGAGAGTATGGACAGTTGGGGTAAAAAATCTTGAATACAGTGACCCCTCGTTTAACGAACACCTCGGTTAACGTAATTTCGATTAACGAACTGCCTTCCATAAGGATCTTCAATTCGGTTAACGAAAAAAAATTCGCTTAACGAACTTCTTACGAACCGACCTCAACATGTTTTCGCTTGCACTGACCGGGCAACCAGCTTTAGTATCAGTCCGCCAATACATTAATCGGTTCTAGGGCTTAAATTCCTTACTATTTTTGTAAATATCAAGAAGTTTATACTATTCAATAATTTTAAAAGTTTAATATTCAATTTTTTAGTCATTTTAACAATTATTGAACAAAATTGAAGGTAAAGTGACTAGTTTAATGCGCGGCATCCAGCCTCTTAACACAGCAAACAGGCGTCAGTCTCTCTCTGTTTTCACTGGAGGTAACATCTTGCTTGAGACTCTCTTCAACTAAACGCTTTTTTTCTGTGTTTCCAAGCAAATTATTGGTCATTTTGAAATATATTTTATATATTGACAATATATAATGCAGTGCAGCGTTGATTTAAAGAAAATAATCTTGAATTAAACCAGAGAGCTAAAATTTTATGGGTGAAATGGCACCATGGGGTGACTTCTCTTCCACCCCAATGCCTTCTCTTCTTCCTTCTCCTCCACCCCCATTCTAAATCCCATCATCATCATCATCATCCAGGAGCCTTCTACATACACACCTCAAAGTAAGTGAACTTTTCTACCATTTTTGTTGAATTTAGGAAATTTTCGGTGAGCTGGAACCAATTACCCAAAAACCCATTGAAACAATGGTTTCGGTTAACGAACGTTTCGGTTAACGAACGACCTTCTGGAACGGATTGAGTTCGTTAACCGAGGGGCCACTGTACTTGACAGTATTTGACATGTAAGTACCCGAAGATCTTGGGTATTAAGGAGAGTTTTATCCCATTTTGTGGTTCAGGCATAATATGTGATGACAAGTAGTGTTATTAGTATATCCCAATCATATATATATATATATATGCACAGTAGAAGGTCGATTTAAAACGATTCAATTTAAGATTATTGATTTAGCGACACCCACAATTAAGGACAATGTTTTAATTTAAGGCGAATCTTTCCTATTTTGCTCAAGTCAATCTGGCGCGTCATATTTTAAAATTTGCGCCTTATGTTTCTCTGGGCACGCTGCACTGTCCTAAGGGCAAAGCTGTACTGTACATTTACTCAAAATAATGTATTAAATGATTACTAAAATTTTTGCAAACTATAGCATGATTATATTCAAATTAATCACTATCTTATGAGAATTCCAGCAATGTAGATTATATTATCCTCTGTCACGTCTATAACATTTTATTAAAAAAAAAATCAATCTAAAGGACATAAATTAATAAATAAATACGTCATTAGACTTTCGGCACAACTGTCAAACGTGTCACTGTCACCTCCCTCCCACCATTTCCCAGCCAGGGTTGGGTGGTTATAGGCTTACAGTTTTTATCTTATATAATATCACAGACTAAAGTTAGGAGAATATAATTTGCATTGCTAGAATCCTTGCAAGACAGCGAATAATTTGAATACAAACGTCATATATTTTGCACAAGAGGTCTCTGAATCCTGTCATCTAAACTTTACCTATAGAGTAGCAGAGGAGGTACAAGTAAATAATTAAATAAAATAGTCTGTGTGGTTAGATACAAGTTGTAATAATTGCAAAATACTAATACAGCATGACTTTCAAATTTGCAGGGGTTAAGTTCTCAAAATGATCGCGAATAACATTTGCTGATCGGGAGGAGGGGGTACATTTTTACTCGTGTGCAAAGAAATCTATATTCCCTTTATGTGTTTGCACTTAGGACAATGATTTCTTTTACCTGTATTGTAAATAAGTGTGTGTGTGTGTGTGTGTGTGTGTGTGTGTGTGTGTGTGTGTGTGTGTGTGTGTGTGTGTGTGTGTGTGTGTGTGTGTGTGTGTGTGTGTGTGTGTGTGTGTGTGTGTGTGTGTGTGTGTGTGTGTGTGTGTGTGTGTGTGTGTGTGTGTGTGTGTGTGTGTGTGTGTGTGTGTGTGTGTGTGTGTGTGTGTGTGTGTGTGTGTGTGTGTGTGTGTGTGTGTGTGTGTGTGTGTGTGTGTGTGTGTGTGTGTGTGTGTGTGTGTGTGTGTGTGTGTGTGTGTGTGTGTGTGTGTGTGTGTGTGTGTGTGTGTGTGTGTGTGTGTGTGTGTGTGTGTGTGTGTGTGTGTGTGTGTGTGTGTGTGTGTGTGTGTGTGTGTGTGTGTGTGTGTGTGTGTGTGTGTGTGTGTGTGTGTGTGTGTGTGTGTGTGTGTGTGTGTGTGTGTGTGTGTGTGTGTGTGTGTGTGTGTGTGTGTGTGTGTGTGTGTGTGTGTGTGTGTGTGTGTGTGTGTGTGTGTGTGTGTGTGTGTGTGTGTGTGTGTGTGTGTGTGTGTGTGTGTGTGTGTGTGTGTGTGTGTGTGTGTGTGTGTGTGTGTGTGTGTGTGTGTGTGTGTGTGTGTGTGTGTGTGTGTGTGTGTGTGTGTGTGTGTGTGTGTGTGTGTGTGTGTGTGTGTGTGTGTGTGTGTGTGTGTGTGTGTGTGTGTGTGTGTGTGTGTGTGTGTGTGTGTGTGTGTGTGTGTGTGTGTGTGTGTGTGTGTGTGTGTGTGTGTGTGTGTGTGTGTGTGTGTGTGTGTGTGTGTGTGTGTGTGTGTGTGTGTGTGTGTGTGTGTGTGTGTGTGTGTGTGTGTGTGTGTGTGTGTGTGTGTGTGTGTGTGTGTGTGTGTGTGTGTGTGTGTGTGTGTGTGTGTGTGTGTGTGTGTGTGTGTGTGTGTGTGTGTGTGTGTGTGTGTGTGTGTGTGTGTGTGTGTGTGTGTGTGTGTGTGTGTGTGTGTGTGTGTGTGTGTGTGTGTGTGTGTGTGTGTGTGTGTGTGTGTGTGTGTGTGTGTGTGTGTGTGTGTGTGTGTGTGTGTGTGTGTGTGTGTGTGTGTGTGTGTGTGTGTGTGTGTGTGTAGACACACACAAAACACATTCAAATAAATAATAATGGGAAAATCATCTCTCAAATAATCAGAAACAAATGTATTAAAAATGTGAGAGTCCACACCTCAAGTCAACTCCGTGCTTTATTAATAACAAAGCATGAAGTGGACCAGTGCCGGATTTAGACCTGTGGAGGCCCATGGGCAGCCTCTTTGTGAAGGCCCCCCTCATTATAACTACCCAATAGGGTGGGGTGGCGAGTGAAGCGAGCCTAAACATCTGGGAGTTCCGGAGGCGCTGTAAGCCCCCCAGGAAAATTTTGAAATTTGAACACTTCTTTGGAGAATTTTGAAGCCATATGCAGTTATATTGAGGAAATTAGAAAATTGAAAAATTTTTAATTAACTGTATATTTATTGATAGTGTACAAATTCCCAACACACACAAAAGTGAGACATGACTGGAGTCATTCATGTGGTTTCAAGTCGACCAGCCCTGATATAGCTACTACCGCACTTGTGGAGGCCCCCAGATTGTGGAGGCCCCTGGGCAGCTGCCCACTTTGCCCACTCCTGAATCCGGCCCTGAAGTGAACTTAAGGGTATACTAAACATTTTTAATACATTTGTTTCTGATTATTTGTGAGATGATTTTCCCATTATTATTTATTTGTACATGTGTTTTCCATATGTCTACACACACACACACACACACTTATATACAATACAGGTAAAATAAACTACTGTCTCTAGAACAAATGGCTCCCTGTCCCAGTGAAAACGGAAACTTTAAAGCTGCCCTTAGACATTCTTGGGTACATCCAGGGTGTCATCCGCGAATAACCAAGGTCCACAAATTATCAGGGCATGCTGTACTGTACTGTGTCATAACTTCACCGAGCACAGTACAATACATTAAGTTTCTTTTGGTGTTTAACAGTGAAATATATTACATGATTTTAAACAACTATTACATGACTTAAACAACTATTACATGACTTAAACGACTATTACATGACTTAAACAACTATTAGATGACTTTAAACAACTATTAGATGACTTTAAACAACTTCTGTATTATATGATTTTAAACAACTATTACACCGACTTAAACAACTATTAGATGACTTAAACAACTATTAGATGACTTTAAACAACTATTAGATGACTTAAACAACTATTAGATGACTTTAAACAACAATGAATGACAACAACATTAGATAGTAACAAGCAACTATGGGTGACTGAAACAACTATTAGATGACTTAAACAACTATTAGATGACTTTAAAGCAACTATTAGATGACTTTGAAAACAACTATTAGATGACTTTAAACAACTGCTATTAAGATGACTTAAACAACTATTGAATGACTTAAACAACTATTAGATGACTTTAAACAACTATTAGATGACAAAACGACTATTAGATGACTTTAAACAACTATTAGATGACTTTAAACAACTATTAGATGACTTTAAACAACAACTATTAGATGACTTTAAAGCAACTATTGAGTGACTTTAAACAACTGTTAGATGACTTTAAACAACTATTAGATGACTTTAAAACCAACTATTAGATGACTTTAAACAACTATTAGATGACTTTAAACGACTATTAGATGACTTTAAACAACTATTAGATGACTTTAAACAACTATTAGATGACCAAGCGACTATTAGATGACTTTAGAAAGCAACTATTAGATGACTTTAAACAGCACCGTAGATGACTTTAAACAACCCTAATAGATGACTTAAACGACTATTAGATGACTTTAAGTAACTAGATGAATTAAACAGCTATTAGATGACTTCAAACAGCTATTAGATGACAAACAACTATTAGATGACTTTAAACAACTATTAGATGACTTTAAACAACTATTACATGAAGCTTAAACAACTATTAGATGACTTTAAACAATATTAGATGACACAAACAACTATTACATGACTTGAAACAACTATTACACTTGACTGACAACTATTACATGACTTAAACAACTATTATGACTTAAACAATATTACACTTGGCTTAAACAACTATTAGATGACTTCAAAACAACTATTAGATGACTTTTAAACCTTTAATAGATGACTTAAGCGACTATTAGATGACTTTAAACAACTATTAGATGACAACAACTATTAGATGACTTTAAACAACTATTAGATGACTTAAGCGACTATTAGATATTTAGTAACTGTGAATGGATTAAACAACTATTAGATGACTTTAAACAACTATTAGATAGCTTAAACAACTATTAGATGACTTTAACAACTATTAGATGACTTTAACAACTATTACACTTGAAGCAAGCAACTATTAGATGACTTAAACAACTATTAGATGACTTTAAACAACTATTACATGACTTAAACAACTATTAGATGACTTTAAACAACTATTTAGAATGACTTTAAACAACTATTAGATGGCTTAAACAACTATTACCAGCTTAAAAACAACTAAAGCTTACATGAAGCAACAACTGTTAGATGACACAAGCAATATTAGATTGACTTAAACAACTATTACTTGACTTAAACAACTATTACATGGCCAAACAACTATTAGATGACTTTAAACAACTATTACATGGCTTAAACAACTATTAGATGACTTTAAAACAACTGTTAATTGACTTTAAACAACTATTAAGATAGCTTAAACAACTATTACATGACTTAAACAACTATTAGATGACTTTAAACAACTATTACATGACTTAAACAACTATTAGATGACTTTAAACAACTATTAGATGAATTAAACAACAATTACATGACAAGCAACTATTACATGACTTAATATAGATGACAACAACTATTACATGACTTTAAACAACTATTAGATGACTTTAAACAACTATTACATGACAAGCAACTATTAGATGACAGAAACAGCTATTAGATGACTTAAACAACTATTAGATGAATTTAAGCAACTATTAGATGACAGAAAACAACTATTAAGATGAATTAAACGACTATTACATGACTTAAACAACTATTAGATGACAAGCGACTATTACATGACTTAAACAACTATTAAGATGACTTTAAACAACTATTAGATGACTTAAACAACTATTACATGACAAAACGGCTATTACATGGCTTAAACAACTATTAGATGACTTTAAACAACTATTACATGACCAAACAACTGTAGATGGAATTAAACAACTATTAGATGACTTTAAACAACTATTAGATGACTTAAACAACTGTAGATGACTTTAAACAACTATTACGCGAGCTTAAACAACTATTACATGACTTAAACAACTATTAGATGACTTAAACAACTGAATGACTTTAAACAACTATTAGATGACTTAAACAACTGTTACATGACTTAAACAACTATTACACTTGACTTAAACAACTATTAAAATGAATTAAGCGACTGTTACATGACTTTTCAAACAACTATTACGCGACTTTAAACAACTATTAGAATGACTTAACTTTGACTATTACATGACAAGCATCTATTGAATGTTAAAAACAACTATTAGATGACTTAAGCCCAACTATTACATGACTGACTTGACTGTTACACTTGACTTAAACAACTATTAGATGACTTTAGAAACCAACGCTATTACATGACTTAAGCAACTATTGAATGACAGAAGCAATAATGGAGCAAGCGACTATTAGATGAATTAACAACTATTAGATGACTTTAAACAACTATTTACATGACTTAAACGACTATTAGATGATTAAACAACTAATGAATGACTTTAAACAACTATTAGATGACTTTAAACAACTATTAGATGACTTTAAACAACTATTGAATGACTTAAACAACTATTACATGACTTAACAACTATTACATGACTTAAACAACTATTACATGACTTAAACAACTATTAGATGACTTTAAGCAACGCTATTAGATAGATTAAACAACTATTACACTTGACTTTAAACATTATTACAGCTTAAGCTAACTATTACATGACTTAAACAACTATTAAGATGACTTTAAACAACTATTAGATGACTTTAAACAACTATTACATGACTTAAACAACTATTACGCAGCTTAAAACAACTGTTAGATGACTTTAAACAACTATTACGCTGACTTTAAACAACTATTAGTGACTTCAAGCAACTATTAGATGACTTTAAGCAACTATTAGATGACTTTAAACAACTATTAGATGACTTTTAAACAACTATTACATGACTTAAACAACTACGGCTTAAACAACATTAGATGACTTTAAACAACTGTTACGTGACAAACAATACATGACGAAACAACTATTGAATGAATTTAAACAACTATTACACAGCTTAAGCGACTATTAGATGAATTAAACAACTATTAGATGACTTTAAACAACTATTACATGACAACGACTATTAGATGAATTAAACAACTATTACATGACTTAAACAACTATTAGATGACAAACAACTATTACATGACTTAAACGACTATTAGATAGATTAAACAACTATTAAATGACACAAACAACTATTACATGACTTAACGACTGGATGGATTAAACAACTGTTACATGACAAGCAACTATTGAATGACTTTAAACAACTATTACATGACTTAAACAATATTAAATGACTTTTCAAACAACTATTACATGGCTTAAACAACTATTACATAGCTTAAACAACTATTAGATAGATTAAACAACTATTACATGACTTAAACGACTATTAGATAGATTAAACAACTATTACATGACTTAAACAACTATTACATGACTTAAACAACTATTAGATGAATTAAACAACTATTACATGACTTAAACGACTATTAGATGAATTAAACAACTATTAGATGACTTTAAACAACTATTACATGACTTAAACGACTATTAGATGAATTAAACAACTATTACATGACTTAAACAACTATTAGATGACTTAAACAACTATTACATGACTTAAACGACTATTAGATGAATTAAACAACTATTAGATGACTTTAAACAACTATTACATGACTTAAACGACTATTAGATGAATTAAACAACTATTACATGACTTAAACAACTATTACATGACTTAAACAACTATTAGATGACTTTAAACAACTATTACATGACTTAAACAACTATTACATGACTTAAACAACTATTAGATGAATTAAACAACTATTACATGACTTAAACGACTATTAGATGAATTAAACAACTATTAGATGACTTTAAACAACTATTTCATGACTTAAACAACTATTAGATGAATTAAACAACTATTAGTTGACTTTAAACAACTATTAGATGACTTAAACAACTATTAGATGACTTTAAACAACTATTAGATGACTTAAACAACTATTACATGACTTAAACAACTATTACATGACTTAAACAACTATTAGATGACTTTAAACAACTATTAGATGACTTAAACAACTATTACATGACTTAAACAACTATTACATGACTTAAACAACTATTAGATGACTTAAACAACTATTACATGACTTAAACAACTATTAGATGACTTAAACAACTATTACATGACTTAAACAACTATTAGATGACTTTAAACAACTATTAGATGAATTAAACAACTATTACATGACTTTAAACAACTATTACATGACTTAAACAACTATTACATGACTTAAACAACTATTAGATGACTTTAAACAACTATTACATGACTTAAACAACTATTACATGACTTAAACAACTATTAGATGACTTTAAACAACTATTACATGACTTAAATAACTATTACATGACTTAAACAACTATTAGATGACTTTAAACAACTATTAGATGACTTTAAACAACTATTAGGTGACTTTAAACAACTATTAGATGACTTTAAACAACTATTAGATGACTTAAACAACTATTACATGACTTAAACGACTATTACATGACTTAAACAACTATTAGATGACTTAAACGACTATTACATGACTTAAACAACTATTACATGACTTAAACAACTATTAGATGACTTAAACAACTATTACATGACTTAAACAACTATTAGATGACTTTAAACAACTATTAGATGACTTTAAACAACTATTAGATGACTTTAAACAACTGTTAGATGACTTTAAACAACCGGTCATCTCATTTATTTACATACTTATGTAATTTTTTGCAGCAATGGGTATGGGGCTGTGCGTGGCATTCATCGCATTCGTACGACTCCCTAGCCTTAAGGTGTCCACACTGCTGTTGACGGGGCTGCTCGTCTACGATGTCTTCTGGGTTTTCTTCTCGTCCTATCTTTTCAATGCTAATGTTATGGTTAAGGTGAGGCAACACAATGTTTCTATAGCTAGGTCATGATCATGGGTCCTGATGGAGCATTTGAGGGTAGAAGTCAATAAAAGTGCCTTGTAAACCTTAAGGTGCAGCCACACAAGTGAACATTTTTCCAACATGCAATCAACATTTTTCCAACATGCAATCAACAAGAAGAAACGGTGGTGTAGTGCATGCGGCCACACCCTACCGGAGTTGGATTCCTGTACCTCATTTCATCTTGTCGATCACATTTTGGCTACATGGTGTACGCTCATGTGGACACACCTTTACTACCCATTTGTGTGTGTGCAAATTCGCCTAACGGGTTATATCTTGTTCTTTTATAAATATTCCTTTTGAAAGCAAACATTTGTGTGGCATTATTATCTGATTGTCATCGCATAATTCAATGTGTTTACCTCATTGTGGGCTATTTTAATGAAGCTTTACCATTGTAGAGGGACAATAAAGGTCATAACACAGTAACAAAGAACAGACTGACTTCTTGAACATTTAGTAAGCTGATAAGTGGTAGAAATGATGAACACACAAAAAAAATAATTATAATACTGTAATGTAAACTGAAATGCACAAGACCAATTTCATTATACAGTACAGTACAATGCTAACACATCTTACATAATTACTGTACTACACTCAAGTCATCATTTATGCTATTAACTACACTTACAAATATCAGTTAGGCTCTTGCGTTGTTTGATTGTCTTAGTTTAGAATTTTGAGAGAGAGTGTGAATAGAATATAACCAGTGATATGTATACATCTGTCAATATGTGTACGTGTGTCTGTCTGTAAATATAAATCTTCTTAGTACAGGGATTCAGGGAAGTTCAAAACAGGATCAGGGATAGAATATGAAATTGAAACCGAAAATAAATTTACAGTATTGCTAGATGGTGACTTTGATGAACAAGGACCAGGACAACAATTTAATAATGACAAAGAAGTAATGTTAGAGACTGGGGAAAACTTATAGGACGAAGCTAAATGTAAGTGGATGACAAGTGAAATTTTAAAGAAAATAGATAAATGAAGAAATATGAGAAAACGAAGTGAGACTTACAAAAACTTAACAAAGAATTTAAAAAGGAATGTAGACAGGTCAGTGAAGATGGTATTAGATGATGACAAGACAAAACTGGAGAGAAATGTACAGAAATATTAAACAAATGAACTGGAAAAAAGGAAATAAATGAGGTGAGACTTTTAAAAGTAAAGACATTACAAACATTTTTTTTTCTCTCTCTCTTTTATGGGGATTAGCCCACCCGGGCACAGGTCAATGACCCACATCAGGGCCTGGGAGCAAAAAGGTAATAATAATAATAATTAATAAAAATAAATACAAAATTTATTAATTTTTTTAAAATAAAACAACAATAATAATAATATTAATATTAAAGAACCATAAATAAATACAACAAATAAAAAAAGATCAAAAGTGAGACACAATATATGTATGTTGTGTTGTTAAAGTAAGGGAAACAATTGAGACCCTGAAATTGTGTGTAAATGAGGCAGAAAGACAGATCAGCAACCTGGGACTTGGTCACAATTTTTGTGATGCCATATGGCAGAAGAAATAAAAGAGAGATTGACAGAGTAAGGAGACGAACTATTCAATGATAAGGGTATAGTGTAGGTAAGGAACGAAAAAGAAATATAGATCAAAATGCCAATTCTAAAAACAGAAGTTGAGGCATCTGTGAGGAAAATGAAAAGTGATAAAGCTTGTGGGTTTGATAAACTTCCAGCAGAATTTATAAAACAATGGACAAGAATGGGTTACAGTGTTTGACTAAAATATGTACCGGGTAATTTTATATACTGTACTGTACTGTACTTCAAAGAGAACCTTCCCAGTAATTTGAAAAAATCAGTACAAATTGAATTATTACCTAAAAAGCCAAGAGCCTTAGAGTGCACCCAGTTTAGAACAATACGCTTAATAGTCAGGCTTGCAAAGTTTTATTGAACATAGTTTTAAGTAGAATAAATTATAGAATAGAAAGTGAGTTATATGAAGAGCAAAATGGATTTAGAAGGGAAAAGGAAATAGAGAAGTTATATTTGTTTTGAGAATTTTGAGTGAAATTGCTTTAGAGGTCTAAAGAAATGTATGTATCTGCTTTGTTAATTTTGAAAAAGCTTTTGATAAGGTAAAACACAATAAACTTATGGTTATTTTGGAAATATGGGCATTAATGAAGGAGATATTAGACTTTTAAAGAGTCTTTACTGGCAACAAGAGGCTGCACGTTAGTAAATAATGAAGTTACTAATTGGTTCACATTTAGACAGGGAGTAAGTTCTATCTCCAACATTGTATAATATATAATCAGAATTATTAATGAGGGAAGTTCTAAGTAACACTGAAGGAATATAAGTTAATAGTAAAGTAATATCAAGTAAACGCTATGATGATGATACTGCTTTTATCACAGATAGTGAAGAGGCATTACAAAAACTGGTTAACAGATTAGTGGAAAAAGGTGAAGAATATGGGTTGAAAGTTAATGCTGTAAAGACAATAGTAATAGTTGATTTTTAATTGGAAAGAAACCCTAAAATAAAAGATTATGGTAAGCAACAGGGAACTTAAACAAGTGGACAATTCTGTGTATTTGGGAAGTAACATCAGCTGTGATGGTAGATGTCCAGAAGAAATCATAAAATGAATAGATCAAGCAAAAACAGCATTTTATAATCTAAAAGACCAAATAAAAAGGAACATTAATTTTAATTTGAGAAAAAGGCTGCTGAAAAGCTATGCAGAATATGGTCAGGACAGTTGTATGGGTCAGAAGCATGGAAACTTTCAGCAGCAGACACCAGAAAGAGGCCTGTGAAATGTGGTGTTAAAGGTGAATGTTAACAATAAGTTACACTGACAAGAAAGCAAATGAAGAAGTACTAAGATTGGTAAATATTTCGAGAGAAACACTTATAAATTTACAGAAAAAGAAAAATGAGATACCTTTATTTTGGTCATATAACCATGAATGAGGGGATAGTAACAGAAATATTAAAGGGCAAAGACTGGGATGGATGAATGAAATTAAAAACTGGGTCCCCAGAGAGATAAAAAATCTTGGAGGATTGGTAAAAACAGCCCAAGAACTTTTAGAGTGGAGGACTGTGGTCACCAGTGAGGACGGTACAGTACTCTGATTGACTGAAATATAAATGGAACCTAACAATTAAAGGTCAGGTATTAGTAATAAGAGAAGTTATTTATTTCTACAGGGTCTTAGGGTCACAGTTTACCGAGGTTAAGGGTAAGATATTGAAGAATTTGAAAAACACTAAATGAGTAGATTCTCTTTTATTTCCTATTCTTCGCTAACCTTACCTCGTTTGGTACCATTTATGTGGGACACCTTGTTTATGTTGATTATAGTGTTAATGCAAAATAATAGGTGGTGATGAATTGATATCCTGGCCACAGATGGTAAAATAGATGACAAATATTGAATACATAATCATCTTTGGCATGATGAACAAATTTGAAACACTTTTGTGCGAATTCACGTTTTCTTCTCACTCGGGGAGTCGTGAGCCAAATGTAGTGTGGCACCGTAAGTCCTCCTAATGCCAGACAAATTCATGCCAGTATTGTCCCTATTAAGAGGCTTCACAGTACTTGTTACATTAATCTGTCATTCTCTTTTCTTTAGTTTGTTTTCTTGTATAAGTTGTTAGTGATCATTGTGCCTCTAACTCACAGGTAGCAACTCGTCCAGCAGACAACCCAGTAGGTGTGATGGCCCGGAAGCTGCACTTGGGCAACATGGGACGAGAGGCTCCAAAACTCTCACTTCCGGGCAAGTTGGTCTTCCCTTCCATGCACAACACTGGCCACTTCTCCATGCTTGGTCTGGGGGATATCGTAAGTTGACGAGGACACAGGTTACTTCGTAGTTTCGTCAATAGATTTAGACATGTTTCTAAGATATGTTGCATATTTCATAACATTTGTCATTTTATTGACAATCTTATTTGTTTTTTTGTTAATAAAATGTAAAAAAATAAAAACAAATTAAAATTTTTCTTTCTCCAATAAGAAATTTATCTTGACCTAGATTTAATGTTTGAAAAATTTGATGCATGCTTTAATGTAGTCCAACTCCATAGGTGATGCCAGGCTTGTTGCTATGTTTTGTTCTACGTTACGACGCTTACAAGAAGGCACAACTAATGTCTGCCGAGGCTGGGGTACCTCCACCATCAAATTTAAATAAAATAAGGTTTGTTAAGGGCATCATGCTGTAACCCTATACTGTAATATGTTAGCTTGAAACCATTAGTTATCAAACCCTCACCCCGTTCCCATTCTTCTAAATTAATTTAATCAACTTATAATCAATTTTACACCTTATACATATACAGTACGTACTTGTATTCACTGTATATTCCTGTTTAAGATCTACTAACTGGTAATTATCCATGTATCTTGTGCATATGGTGAAGATGGAAATATTCAGGTACTAAGAAAAAATTAATGCTACACAATTTTATTGAAGCCAAAGCAACATCATTACTCAGATGGGATCCATTATTTGGATGTCTATATCAGCAGGAAGGCACAACTGTTCAAAGCAACAACCGGTATATTACGCTAACATAGATTGGCTAATTTTATCTCATGAAAAATTGGTTCAGGTAAAATAATAAAAATAATCATACTTATCATTTACATTCAGTAAACTATTATTATTTTTCTTAAGGGTTAATAGGTTGTAAGGTTTTAGGTTCAAGAAGCTTCCAGAGCTGCAAAGAAGATTTTTGAAGGTTCACAAGTCCAGATGTATATAATACAGTACACAGGGCCGGATTCAGGAGTGGGCAAAGTGGGCAGCTGCCCAGGGGCCTTGACATATTACAATACTGTACAGTAATACCCCGCTTTACTCTTTTTTTTTTTACGCGTTTCTACATTTACGCGGTACCCTGCCAGAACCGGAATTCCCACTTTACGCGGTGCATCTACTCAAATACGCGGGTAAAGTATAATTATTTTATTTATTTCATAAAATTCATATAAATTACCCGGCCAGAATATAATTTACATTGCTGGAATTTTTACAATTTGATGATCGTTTTGAATATAAACATCATAGATTTTGCATTAGGCATACAAATTTTAGATCTAAGTAAGAATTTTGTTTACTCAGAGCAAATATGTTATCTTTTGTGCAAAATATATGACGTGTATATTCAAAATATTCCTGGTCTTGCAAGGAATCCAGCAATGTCAATTACAGTGGGGTATGCTATAACGAACGGATCCTACTACGAATATTCCTATAACGAACGGTTTTACCTATAAAATTGAGAATGCTATAACGAACGAAACTCCTACAACGAACATTATTTTAAAAAATTTTTTTTTTTTTACTAATTTATTGTTTTTTATTACAAGTATTAATGATATTGGTTATTTCAGGGGTTTAGATGCATATTTATGCACTTTTTTACAATTTTTACAATTTTATATTATATTTTTCAGTGTTAAGTGGTTGTATTTGGGGGCCTGGAACAGATTAATCCTATAACGAACGAATGCTATAACGAACAAGGTTCTAGAACCAATTAGATTCGTTATAGCATACCCCACTGTATATTATCCTAACTTTAGTCTGAGGTATTATTTATTACTAAAAATGTAAATACAGGTTGTACCTCTCTAGTCCGGCATTCTGTGGTCCGGAAACTCCCGTGGTCCGGCACGATTTTAGTTTGCCCAATAGGTAGATAGGCACAATTTTTTTTTTCTTTTTTTTTCTTTTTTACTTATCTGTATTATTATTATTATTATTTTAATTATTATTATTATTATTATTATTATTATTATTATTATTATTATTATTATTATTACAGGAGTATTACATTTTTGCCCCTCAGGCTCCAATGTGGGTCAGTGACCTGTGCCCGGGTGGGCTAATCTCCGTAAAAAAAAGCAACAACATAGGCGCGGGAAATTAGGGTTTGGTTCCATCCGGCAGTTCGGCTCTCTCTCTGCTTGTCTATACAGAGTACAACATTTAATCCTTCAATATGTATTCAAAGAAACCACGAAGCAGTGATAGTGGTGCTAGTGCTTCCACGCGTAAGCACAAGTCACTATCTATCCAGGAAAAGGTTGAACTATTGCAGAAATTAGATAAAGGTGCTTCGGTACGCAACTTGTGTGAGAAGTTCGATGTTGGGTCATCCACGATCTATGACATAAAGAAGCAGAAGGACAAGATATTATTTTAAGTTTTTTGCAGACAGTGAGACCAAGAAAGTTATGATAACTCGTAAGACATTGAAAGAAGGCAAAAGTAGTGAGTTAGACAGTGCTTTACTACAGTGGTTTAAGCTTCGGCGTAATGATGGAGTAAGCATTTCAGGCGAGATGATTGTGGCTCAAGCAAAGGTCTTCATGAACAACTAAACCTTCAGCATGCCTGTGATTATTCGCAAGGATGGTTACACAAGTTTAAAAATAGGCATGGTATTTCTTTACATTATGTGTGTGGTGAAAAGCGAGGTGCAGACAGTGAAGCAGCTGCCAAGTATGTGGACGAATTCGCACAGTTTGTGGCAAAGGAGAAGTTATCCCCAGAACAAGTGTATAACGCTGATGAGACTGCTCTATATTGGCGTTGTATACTTAGAAAAACGCTAGCTACAGAGAGTGAGGAGGCACCAACAGGTGGTAAGGACTCGAAGGTTAGGGTTACGGTCCTTGGTTGTAGCAACGCAGCAGGCACTCACCGGTGTAAGCTAATGGTAATTGGGAAAAGTGTCAACCCACGGGCATTTAAAGGTGTGAAAATTTTTCCAGTTATCTACCATGGTAACAAGAAGGGGTGGATAACTACAAAACTATGCCTAGAGTGGTTTGAAAGGTATTTTGTGCATGAGGCTAGAGCACACTGCACCTCAGTAGGCCTAGATCCAAAGTGTAAAATAGTGTTGATTCTGGACAATTGTTCTGCCCACCCTAAGGCTGAACTTTTAGTGAAAGACAATGTGGTTGGACTATTTTTACCCCCAAATTGTACATCTCTGATTCAGCCTTGTGATCAGGGCATATTACACTCACTTAAGTGTAAGTATAGAGCTGCTTTCATGCGCCATTTGCTCGCTGCGGTGAATAATGGGAAGCATGTTTCAGCATTCATGAAAGAGGTTAACCTAAAGGATGTTATTTGGACACTTGCCTATGCCTGGGATAAGGTGACTCCATCAACTTTGAAGAATGGATGGCATAATCTGTGGCCAGCCTTAATGTTTGAGGAGAGTGCAGATGTGGACCAAGACTTTGCTGGATTTCATGTGTCAAAAGAAAAGCAAATTATTCGTGAGTTGCTTGAGTATGCTAATACAATGACAAACCCTGTGTGTGTTGAAGTGGCCAATAAACTGAGTGAAGAGCAGCTGGAAGAGTGGATGGGTGTTGACAAAGATGCCCCTATTGTGTATCAACTCTCTGATGAAGAGATTGTGGAGATGGTTAAGAAAAGAGAAGAGGAAGATGACGAAGCAAGCGACGAGGAGGAAGAGGATATCAAAGAAAGAATTTCTATTGACAGGTGCATCCAGCTGTGCACAGAATTAATCACGGGACTAGAACAAAAGAGTTTTATTACGGAGCAAGAAATCACGGCTGTCTCTTTGATTCAATCTAAATTGAATAAAGAGAAACCTAAGTACATGAAGCAAGTAACTTTGCAAGAGTGGTTCAAGAAGATGGCCAACAAAAACAGTGAAGAGCACTCTAGCATAGCAAATCCACTTGCCAGCACTTCCTCTGCCCTCGCTGTACCTGATGTCACTACAGCCACGACCTCTGACACCACAGCCAACATCCCTGATGTATCTCAAATGTAATTTGAGTCACAGTACTGTACCATCACTTCACTTTGGAAGCAGAATTTTGGTAGCATTAAAAGTTAATGAAATAGTACCATGTATTCTTATTTATTTATTTCCTATCTTATGTTTTTATGCTTTATGTAGGGTGTTTCGAGGGTGAATTTTGCCTTATTTACCTTACTTTTTTGGCGGATTACTACCTCTAATAAAGCAACATCCTAATAAACCAACGAAAATAACACAGATAAAGCAGTAAATAAGTGTTGCTGTCATATTCTTATGTAGAATAATGACGATATGTTTTTCACATGTGCGCTCTTACATTTGCACAGTCTCATCGTTTTTCTTTAACATTAATGGTTTACTACTTTTAATGTTCTATTTATTAACATTAAATAACATTACTTAAAACAACCATATTAATTTTTTACATTAATTTTACTACAGCTACAACCAGGGTCATATTTTCTGGTTTTATATGTAGAACCATTCAGTCACTGGTTTTGTAATCAACGAAAACAATGCTGTGTCATTTCCTCGTGTGTTTTAATATTCTACTTATTATTAATGAATTGTATTGCTCATTTTGCACACATAAACATTAATTCAATAAAAAAGACATTCAGTAATAAACACTAATGAATCTTTTGTACATAAGAGAAATGACGCTGTTTACACGATTATGCACGTCGTCTGCACGTCGGCGGGCCGTTCAAACCCGTCAAAATTCAAGTTTCCGCCGTTAAAATTTTTATTTATTTTTTTTTTTTGTGTGTGTTCCAATAAAATACGTTGAATTAAAAACTGGCAAAATTTGAGAAGCTACTATACGACATTTAACCCTTCAATATGTCTTCAAAGAGACCATGATGCAGAGAAAGTGGTGCTAGTGCTTCCAAGCATAAGCACAAGTCACTATCTATCCAGGAAAAGGGTGAATTTCCATGGTCCGGCACCGGTCAGGTCCCGAGGTTGCCGGACTAGAGAGGTACAACCTATATACTGTTTTAACCCAAACATTTCTTTGGTTGGGAGGGAGGGACCCAGCAAGCGTGGGAAGAGGGGGGGGGAGCCGGAGGTGGGGTATTTTGATTGACAGATAGTGTCTGGGTGAAGTATATTTTTTTTATTTACTGAAGATATTGGTTTTAGCTCATAAAATTCATATAAATTACCTGGCCAGAATATAATTTACATTGCTGGAATTCTTACAAAATGATGATCATTTTGAATATAAACATCATGGATTTTGCATTAGACATACAAATTTTAGATCTAAGTAAGAATTTTGTTTACTCAGAGCAAATATGTTATCTTTTGTGCAAAATATATGACGTGTATATTCAAAATATTCCTGGTCTTGCAAGGAATCCAGCAATGT